CAGGTGTCCTCTGGAGTCAGGCCCGGCGCAGCCCTTGACCGCTGGGTGACTTGGTCAAGGGCAGAGGCAGGGGTGTGGGTCCCCGAGGGGGTCCCGTGGGCCACCGCAGGCCACACCGTGAGTCAGTGGCTGCGCCGTGGCTCCCCAGCCTGTCCCCTGGCGACCCTGTGATGCCCTTTGGCTGCGGGGACGGGTGTCTGCGGGAAGAGTGGGCCCTTGGTCCGTGTGACGTGAGGGGTGTCCCGCGTGTGCGGCCCGACAGGGAAACTCCCAGCTAAGGCCACGGGTCGTCTCGGGGTCCCCGGTCTCCCTCGCCCTTCTGCCTGGTCCCCTCCCGCGAGGGCAGACCCCCGTTCGCCGTGAGCCACGCCATGCAGGCCCCGCTCCCCGTGCCCCAGGCGCTGACCGAGTCTCTGTGTCCACCTTCCCCGCAGGGCCCGGGGCCTCCCGGTCAGGGCTCCGTCCCCTGACTGTGTCCCGGCACGGAACACGGGGGTTTGACGCGGACGCATGGGCCACGCATCAGGCTGCGTGTCAGCCCACAGCAGACATACACACGCGTGCCATTTCATCTGCGTGGATGTCGGAACACCCAGGTGCCAGCAAACACCCCTCCCCCGGGGTCCTGCCCCCACCCGCGAATCCTCAGGAGGGCGCCCCCCGCCCCGCCCCAGGCTCCTCGGCTCCCTCTGCTGGCCAAGTGGGGTTCCCGCTTGACCTGGTGCCCTTGCTCGCTGGGGATGGTCCTGCAGGGGCCGCTGCCCCGGGGAGGGGCTGAGTGTCTCCTGGGCGGGGAAGGAGCGGCCGAGTCCAGCATCCAGCTTGCCCTTGGGCCTGGGGGAGGTGGCGCGAGGCCCGCCCCGGCCTGGGGCTCCCAGGTGCCCGCCCTCCCCCACGCCTGGCCGGCTCCGTGGCAGGTGCCAGAGAAACGTCCCCACGCTCGCCCCCTGTACTCATCACCAGCCCCTGGGGCGCCAGCCCCGGTGCAGCAGGCCCCGGCGGCTCCGAGGTGCGCGCGGCTCTCCCCGCCGCCGCCGCTGTTAATCTGCTCCCCGGGAGACGGGCGACCTCGGCCCGTTAATCACTCGCTGTAATTACAGCCCCGGCTCTGCGCCGGGAAAGTTAATTGATGCGTCTGGTGCGGGGGGCTGTGCACTCACGCGTCCTTATCCCGTGGCCCCCGCACGCCAAGGTCGCCGGGTTTGGCGGACGGACGGCGCATAGGAATGAGGGGGCTGCCCGTCCGAGGGTGGGGTGGCCGGCTGCCAGCGCGGCCAGGCGTCTCGCTCGCTCCCGCGTGTCCTGCGTGCTCCACAGGCCAGCCGTGGACACAGGGCGCGCACGTTGCAGAGGGCGAGGGTGAGGGCCGGGCAGTGGCCGGCTGATGGACCTTGGCGGGCTGACCGGCAGGCCGGCCCCTGGCCGACCCCCGGGCTGTGTGAGGCCCAGTGGGTCCCCCCACTGGGGCCTGAGGTGATTCCGCGGACGCCCCTTTCGTCCGCTCTCCTCGTGAAGTTCGGTTTTCTCCGATTGTCCCAGAGACGCGCGCTCGTTAGACATTACCTCGCTTTTCTGGGCTTCTGAGCCGGGCGGGATCAGGAGGGATTCTGCGGAGTAGCTAGTGCAGTGCCGTCCTTACTGCTGGGGAAACCGAGGCCGGGAGCGGGCCGGAGGGGCCGGCCCAGCGGAAGCCCAGGCTGTGGGACCGAGGCCCCGGCGCTGACCGGGAAGCTCCCCACGCTCACTGCCGGGCGCTGGAGAAAGGAAGGGGCCGTGCCCGGGGGGCGGGGAGGGGGCCCGTCCGGCTCTGGGGGCCCGAGAGCCGCTCTGCCTCGGGGACCGGTTGGGGTGCCGGAAGCCGGAGGGAGCTGGTGTCGGGAGCCAGGCAGAGTGGACAGAAACCCTCTCAGCGCCTAAAGCTTGTCCCTCACGCCCACTGAGGGCTGCTGCCCACTTCCTGGGGGCTGGGGGGGCCTCCCTAGCCTCTCAGGTGGTGTCTCGGCCCCTGCCCCCGCTGGGCCGCGGCAGAACCGTCAGTGCGGGGAGTGGACGCGGTCCTGTTCCCGCTCGGTTGCCGGGCCAGGTCTCCTCTGCGACCCGCGGCCTTGTCCTGCCCAGGTGGGCTGGGCTGGCGGGCCCGACCTCTGGCCCTGCCCCCGGCCTCCGGACCTGTGACCACAGACAGGGACAGGGTCCAGCTCCCCGCGCCTCTGCCCTCACTGCCCTCGACCCGGCCTCTCTCCCCGCGTCCGGGGCTGGGCCGCTGGCTGCTGGCAGAGCCGCCCCATGGGCTGGGGCCGCGCTGCTGGCGCACGGGCCGCCTGGCTTCTTCCTTGAGAGGCCGGACGACACTGGGAAGCCGAGGACGGGCCAGGCCCCCTTACGGGGTGGACTGCGTAGCTGGTGGTGGCCGGGGCAGTCAGAGGACGGGACTGAGAGTGCATCGTGGCCGGTCCCCAGCGGGTCTGGTCCCCTGGAGCCGTCGGACGTCCCCGAGGGTCCCCGGGCAGGACCCACAGCCCGAGGGCTGCAGACGCCCCATCTCTGGGCCCGCAGGAAGAGGGGTCCAGGACAGCACGGGGTCGGGGGAGGTGTGGCAGGTGGCCTGGGGCAGCCCCTTACCTGGTGGCTCTGTCCTCGGGGCAGCTGGCGTGGGCCAGGCCGTGCTGCCAACCCCCCTCACCGCTGTGCCGGCTGCTCGAACGAAGAGGACACCGTGTAGGTCTGGCCCAGGTTTAGGCTGTGTTGCTATGACCACGGAAGGCTGGCCTCTGAGCCCCTCGGCTTGGACCTGAATAGGAACTGACTGACGGCAGGTGCGCCGGGTGGACTCCCAGCGGGCTCTCGGGAAAGGGCTGCAGTCCGGAACTTTCCGAGACAGGTTTTCATGCTTCCCCACGGCCCGAGAGCCCACCCTCGGAGACTCTGGAAAGGGCGCGGCCTCGATGCACCAGCAGGCGGAGAGACAGACCCCCGTGCCGGCGCCCGCAGGTCCAGGTGGTGGCTGGCCGACCCTCAGCAATGGCAGGGGTGCTGTCCCTTCCTGTCTCCAGGGAGGGAGCTGGGCTGCAGGTGGGGGCCTTTCTGGCCTGGCTTGGCTTTGCAGGGGACACGTCCCCGGGCGTCACACCACGTCTCCTGATGCAGAGCAAGGACGAGGGGGAGACGTGTCCGTTGGCTGTCACTGTGTCACAAACCACCTCCCAAGCCAGCCTCTCACACTCACAGCAGCGGGCGTCTCCCTCCAGGGCTCCCGAGTCTGGGGGGCTCTGCTCGGGGCTGGCGGGGCTCGGGCGGCTCTGCCCCGTGTGGCTGTCCTCCCCTCGCGGGGACCTGGGCCCAGCCAGGCACGGGCAGAGGCGCAGGCGGATGAGCAGGGACATCGCAGGCTCCTTCTGGCCGAAGCTTGGGAACGTCTTTCCGCCTCTTCTGCCGCCTTCTGTCGACCACGCGAGTCCCGGGGCGGAGCCGGGGCTCCCAGGGTGGGGAAAGGGGCTCCGCCTCTTCAGCAGTTTGGGGCTGGCCTGGGAGGTCGCTTGGTTTTTCCGGACGGCGGCTCTAGTGGCGCTCAGTTGTCTTGAACTTCCTTCGAAACAGGTTGGCTAGATTGTGCTGTGGCAGCTGTCCTGTCAGCGTGCATGAAAATTAAAAAAAAACGTATCCAAACTGGTGAATTCTCATGTAGCCATTTAAATATTGAAGATGGAAGAAAATACACGACACTTTTGGCGTATGTTGCTTTGTTGTTTCAAGGAAGGGGGAAACACAACTGAAGTGCAGGGAAGATCTGTGCCGTGTGACGGACGGGACGTGTCAGAGGCGGTTTGCGAAGTTCCTCGCTGGAGGTTTCTGGCTGGGCGATGCCCCACGGTCGGGTAGGCCAGTGGACATTGATAGCGATCAGATCGAGACATTAATTAAGAACGATCAATGTCATACCACGCAGGAGATCGCCGACACACTCAAAATATCCAAGTCAATGAGGTTGTTGGCGAAAATGAAAAATGTGTCTTTTATTTCACGGAGAAAAACCACATGGACTGGGCGGGCCGCCGTCCTGGTCGCCGCAGGGGCCCGAGGCTGGGGGTGGGGGTCGGGCAGGGGAGTGGACGGAGGGGCCCGGGAGCCCTGGGCACGACGCCCTTGGTGACGTCATCGCGTCGCGAGCTGCTCGAGACCCACGCCGCCTGGTGACCCCCTTGGCGGGGCTGGGGTTCTCCTGGGTGTGGGGGTGCATTTCCGGTTTGGGGCCCCGAGTCCCCTGGGCACCGGTCTCAGCTGCACGGCAGGGGTTCGGGCCCCCAGCTTGAGCCGGGCTCTCGGCAGGGGGGCCGGCCTCCGGGGAAACTGCTTCCCGAGTCACGCCCGTCCGCGCGGGAGCGCTAAACACAGCACCGAGGGCAGGCATATCACGCCAGGCCCTACCCATCCGGTTCCACGTGTTGAGTAACGAACCGTGGCCACGATGCCTAAAGGCGCGCCGTGTTATTGAAACGCGCTGGTATTGGAAAATAAAGAAAGCGAGACAAGCGCAGCTCCAGGGAAATTGTCGCAGACTTCCCCCAGACGCCAGAACGATAAAACCCGAGTGGTTTCTGCCGGAGTCGGGACTCGTGGGGCAGGCGGGGCATGGGGACCGGGGCCGGCTTCTCCGGGGCGGCTTGGAAACGGGAGGAGGCGGCCGGTTCACGCAGGAAGTTGCCCGTCCCCTGCGATCTCGACGGCTGGGCCTGGGCGCTCGGTGTCGGCGGCAGGAAGAGCGAGCTCTCGGCCTTCGAGCCCCACGGTGGGCTCCAGTGGTGGGGATCAGCTGGGGTTTGGGGGCGCAGAGACGGAGGCAGAATCGGGGTGATGGGGAATGGAAGCAGAGGCTGCCGGCACCCTGGGAGGGGCCCCCCACCGCTGTCCCTTGCTTCTCTGGTTCGTGAACGTGTTTTTATGTCACAGACAAAGACGCCGGCGTCAGAGGCATCTGACGGTTTTCTCTCCTTTCCCGTCAGGTCGGCGGGACCTCCCTCCCATCTCTGAGGCCCTGAAGCTCTTCTCGCCGACGCCTGTCCCCGGCCACCGCCGTCCACCCCAAGGCAGTCTCAGGAAGACCCCCGCGGGGCCTCCCGCCTCAGGAAAGCAGGCCGCACCTGCCCCGGCCAGGTAAGGCCCCGCGCGCCCCCGACACCAGGCTCGGGGTCTGCGTTTGTGGCGGGGAAGCGCTGTGCGGGGGGGACTTTATTTCACACAGAGGCGGGCAGGGACGTGTTCCGCTGGTGTTAGTTCACAGGTCCCGGTGCTCCGTGGCTTCGGGGAGAACCGGCAGGGGCCCGGGGTGCGCTGGCTGGGATTCCGTGCGGACGGCTGCTCTCTGTCTGCGCCCTGAGACCCGTCGGCCCGGCCGCGGCGGGGCGACGCCGGGAGGGAGGTGGGCCGGGCGCAGGTCGGATGCCTGGTGCCAGTGCAGAAGGCCGGGGAGGCCAAGGCGGAGGCCGGACGCCCCTCTGCGCAGCGGGTCCCGTGTCCCACGGCCCGGGTTTCCCTGGGGCCCCGGGACGCCCTCATCGGCTCGAGGGGCCCCGGTTCCTGTCCCGTCCCCACCCGCAGTGCGTGGGCCGCACTTCCACTCGGCCACTGACCAGCTGGAGTCGGGGCCCGGCCGCCTGGCTGAGGGCCTTGTCCCCTAGAGACTGGCCCCCGTGAGTCTCCAGGGCCCTCGCCCTTGGGGCCGACTGGCGTGAACGGGAGGGTTCCCGTGACCTCCTCGTTTTTGGCAATTTGCTAAAAAGACCGTGGGACTCAGGAAAATGCTGCACCCATGATTGTGATTTCATCATAAAGGCCCCACCTGGGGCGAGGTCAGGGAGGCCCCGGACGCGGAGCCCTCTCCCTGGGGAGTGGGGACAGGTCGCCGGCCCAGCACATGCACCCGTGGGTCCGCCGGCTGCTGCAGCCCGCAGCTTCAGGCCACCGGGGTTCCATTGGGCTCCACGTGTCCTGGGTCACATGACCGAGCCCGGCTCCAGCCCGTCCCCACCCCCGCCCCCGCCCCCTCCCCGGCTGCTGGGGGGAAGGTCCAGTGGCTGCATCACCCGACCCTTGGGCCCACCGCACGTCCACCCTCAGCCACCTGGTCAGTGCAAAGCCAGGTGTCACCAAAGGGACTTGTCATAAATGCAAGATGCTCCAGTCCTCTGGGAGTTGCAGAGGTTGTGCAGGTCACCACCCCCAGGACCCAGGGACAAACAGCAGGCACATCCTTTATGGCAGGCACCGCCCTCCGTGAAGTCCGGTGCGGACCGTCCCCCAGAGCGGGGGGCCCCCATCCCCCAGGCCTGCGTGCCGGCCCCTGTCCGGGCGGGGCAAACGGTGCCGTCGAGAATTCTGGGCAAGGAGACCAGGGCGCAGGCCAGTCAGAGAGGCTGCCGGAAGGCCAGTCTGCAGCTGGGTGGCTGAGCGGGGTGGTGGGGGGGTAGCTGCAGGGCTTGTAGGGCTGAACTCAGAAGCCTCAGGCGGGGGAGGGGTTTGGGGTTCTGTCTTCGGAATGGTGGGAGCCCCCGGAGGGCACTGTGGTGTCCGGGGAGCAGGCATGTCCCCGGGGAGCCGGGGACCCGTGGCTGAGAAGCTACAGAGAGAGCCAGCAGGGGCTTCTGCCCCGTGGGGGGCGCTGTCCACACCACGTGCCATGCAGGACTCTCTGGTGCGGCTCCTCTCACTGCAGAGGCGGCCTTGCTGGCTGGGGGCTCCACGCAGACAGGAAGGGGTCCGGGAGGGCGTGGGAGGAAGCAGGCTCCCCCCAGCCCAGGACCCCTGCCCGCCGGCCTCCCTGCCTTGGAAAGCGTCCCGGCGGTCAGGTCCCCTCCTGCAGCTCCTCCTCTCCACGCGGGCTCCCCCGGGACCCCACTGGGCAGTGTATGACGACGCGTCTTTATCAGCTGCTTCAAAATCGGCCTCGTCCAGGGGCCGCCGCGTGACCCCAGCTGGGGCCGCCGCCCTTGCGTCGGGGCCGGGGTGAGCGAGGCGCAGGCAGGCAGAGGGGCACCCCGGGGTGGGGGGGTGTTGTCCCGGCCCCAGCGTTAGAGCCGGTGCGGCTACCCCGGCTCCACCCTCGGGGACGGACCCACAAGTGGCGACGGGGCGACTCCCCATAAATCATCCCGGAATGAGCGGGCTTCCCGCACCATCCATCACGCCGGGCTCCCGTCCGCTTGTTTTCAAAAGCTGTTAAACTGGGATCCATCACCGGCACCCTTGGGGCCGCGCCGAAGCTGGGGCTGCCGGCGGCGGCGGTGGCGTCGGGGCGCCCAGAGCTTTCTGAAGCGTGAGGCCGCCGCCTCCCCAGGGGCGGTGGCGGGGCGGTGGGGAGATGGTTCTCTGCCACAGTCGCCGCTGGTGCCTCCCTCCCTGCCACGCCCGGGCGCCCTGATGCCCCTGGTGGGACGGGAGACGGACACCCACCCGCCCACCCGCCCACCCGAGAGGTGCTCCGGGGCCCCTTCCTCCCGCCGGGCACCCCGCTGCTTCCTGCACCCGACACTGGGGTTCCCGGCTGTAGCTTGAGCCAGCCTTTGGGGGTGTGGCTCCTTCCAGAAACACCCGGGCTTCCTCTTCTGTTGCTACATGCGTATGAGCAAGACTCGGGAGAGGATGTTGAGGTCGGCTTTACTCTCTGCCCGCGCCCCAATTCGAGGAAGGGCCAGCCCGGGGTTCGCCGTGGCTGGAACCTCCCGGGCTCCGGAACCGCCCGCCCCCATCGACTGGCGCTGGGTTTGCCTCCGAACTCCCTTCCGTCTGTGCCAGGCGGGCGTCGCAAACCTCGGCGGCACTGGTGGCACGTGCCGCCATCTGCTCTCAGCGTCTTCCCTGTCCCTGTCGCTGCCCCGCCGTCGTCGGTGGACGGGTAAAACCGCTTATGGGCCCTGGCGCGACCTTGTATTTAAACCGGGAGAACAGGCCCGTGTGTTTCTCTTGGTGACTCCGGAGCTTCCGGAGCGCGTCCCGCCCGGGGCGCCCCATTACAGCCCATCAGTCTCTCGGTGTGTTAAGGCATTAAGGGCGATTAGGGGGAGGAGAGTTTCTAGATGCAGCTGGGCGCTCTGCCGGCGGCTCCCAGATGCAACCTGTGAGGAGAGACGGGAATCGGAGGTGTTCATCAGAGCGCCACCCCCGCCCGGCCCCGCCAGCCACCGCGGGGCCCGGAGTGGGCACGGGGCTGGGCAGCCGTGGGCAGGGCCCCAGACTCGGGCGTTGGGGAGGAGTGTCGGGGGTGGGCTGCCACGGGGGACCGCGGACACCAGGGCCTAAATACAACGTGAGATTTGTTCTCCGGGTCCTGGAGGCCGGGCGTCTGAAGCCCCGGCGGCGGCGGGGCCACGCTCCCCCTGGTTCTGGGGGTCTCCTGCGACCCTCGGCGTCTGGTCCTGGCTCGTGGAGGCATCGCCCGGCCTGCCTCCTCCGTCACGTGGCCGTGTCCCCTCCGCACGTGGCTGCCCCCGGCACGGACGCCAGCCACGGGTGCTGCTGGAACTTGTCATGTCGCGCAGGCCCGGGTCCTGTCCGGTGGCACCGCCGGTCCTGGGGTCAGGACTTCAGCACTTGCTTTTGCAGGACACGGCTCTGCCCACTCTCGCCTCCGAGACTCTGGGACAGAAAGGCCAGGAGAGGGAGGGACGGTGACCTCCTCGTGCCCCCGTCGCTCACCTCCCGTGTCCCCTCCCCCTGGTACCGGCCTCACCCAAGGACGCTGGGACACTCTTGAGAACCATCCGCCTGCCGTCGGTCACTTGGAGACGATGCTAGGAGCGCCGCCGCCGGTGGGGCAGGGACGGGGGCTGGAGGCCGGGGCTGGCGGGGCCGGCGGGGACCCCAGGTCCTTCTGCTGAGTCCCCCCTGTCTGCTGTCCCCCACCCCACCATCCCAGTACTGAGACTGCCCTTGAGAACCCCAATCGAACCCTAAAAACAAGCCGGGGCAAGCCAGGCACATGCTTCTGCCCCACTGTGGAGGGGAGTGTTTTCGAGCTACTGTGGGGCGGGGTGGGGCGGGGCTGGCGGGGCTGGAGGGGCTGGGAGGAACGGGGTGGAGGAAGTCAGGCAGGGCCTGAGGAGGTGAGGCAGAGACCCCGGGGGAGGGGGTGGGGCAGGCACTCGGTCCGGCACCTGGAGGTCAGCGTTGTGAGGGGTCTGCATGCAGAGGGGCCGGCCGTGGGTGGGGGGCATCACTCAGACCGATGGCTCGGGTGTGGGTGTGGGCACCCAGACCCGGGGGGTGGGGTGGGGTGCAGGGATTCTTGAGAAAGGTGCAAACGGCGGGTCCTGGGGATGCCCCCCTTCCCGGGAGGGGGAGCTGTCCTGGTGAGGGCCTCGTCTCCGGTCTGAGCTAGTAAATGACCGTCCCCGCCCACAGCCGCAAGGTGTGGGGGGAGGGCCAGCCTTAGGGCACTGTGTTCACCCGTGTGCGTCACTCAGGACCCGGGTCATGCGTGGGCAGCCGCTGGGCGGAACTGTGACTGACAGCAGGTGTCCTGGGTGGAGAAACGGGAGCGTTTCCCACGTGGGTGTCTGTGCGTCCCGTGGCATCAGCGGGCCGCCCCCGAAAGGCCAGGGGGGTGGGCGAGCCGCTGTCACCCAGGGGTCGGGGCTGGGCTCGCTGGCCTCTCAGCCGGACCGGCACCCGGCCAGCCGCTCCGCCCCCCCCACGTTGGGACCTCATTCAGGGCTCAGACGCGGGCACACGGGCTGGAGGTAAACTCTGCTTACAGGGTGGACGGACAGCGAGGATTTGTGTGGACTGGCAGAAAATCGTGTTTTATCTTATTTGCAAGGGTGCGTTAAGAATCCCCAGGTCTGGTGCTTCCAAAGACATCTGTGTTCTGCAGGCAGAGGAGGGAACAGAGGCGTCAGCAAACGCCGCAGGGCTGAGAATTAATTTAGCGGCAGAGGTCAAGGTTTTGTGTGTGTGTGTCAGGGGCGGGGGTGGCGAGCGCGCAGGGGGGCGGAACAGAATCATTTTTCTCGTCTTCCTTGGGATGGGACGGGAGGTGGAGCGGGGACAGATGGTGTTTGGAGTGACCTTGCGTCTCCGGCGATGCCGAGGAATGGCTGGGGCGCGGGAAGCTCGCGGGGCGCGGCCACCTGCTACCGCCACTGAGGGGCTGAGTCAGGAAGTCCACGCCCGGGAAGGACCTGGAAGCACTCGGAGGGAACCCCCAAGTTCCCCAAGGATCACGGAGCATGCCCCAAAAACCTGGGGGCCATGCCCGAGAGCCCGGAGTCTCTAAGCTTCTGCTGGGGGCTTGGGGTCCAGCCTGGCTGGCGTCCCCGGGGGGTGACCTGGCGGTTGGGGGGTGTGGGGGTCGTCCGATCCGAGGTCCCCTGAGGCTGACCCGTGCCGCCGCCCCTGTGCCTCTGCACAGCCCCGTGCACCGGGCGCCAGGAGGGCGTGGCCACAGGTGAGGGACCCAGCGCGAGAACCACGGGGAGTCTCGGGGGACAACTGGGGCTCCAGGCGCGCGTGTCTCCTGTGCTGAGTGTCGGGGACGCTCGGTGCGGGGTCTGCAGGCCAGAGCCCCCCAGGAGCCCCCGTCCTCCTTCCCTGCAGGACGCGCAAGAAGCTGAGAGTGGGCACACAGGGTCTTTCACAGCGAACAGAAAGGGTCGTTTTATGTCTGTTGAGTCTAACAATAAGAAATTGGGGTTTGGCCCTGGCTGGCGCGGCTCAGTGGACTGAGCGCCGGCCTGCAAACCAAGGGGTCACCAGTTCGATTCCCAGTCAGGGCACGTGCCCTGGGGTGCGGGCCAGGTCCCCAGTAGGGGGCGTGCAAGAGGCAACCACACATTGATGTTTCTCTCCCGCTCTTTCTCCTTCCCTTCTCCTCTCTCTAAAAATAAGCAAATAAAATCTTAAAAGGAAAAAGAAGTTGATATGTGTTTGGTAAGGCTTTTTGATTCCGGTTTCCCCATAATGCCTTTCAGACGCCCCAAACCACAGGTCTGCAGTGAGGGGGGAATAACAGGGGCCCGTCAGCGCAGACGGCGTGGGCGGCGCTGGCACAGAGGGGGCGGGGTCGAGCCGGCGCTGGCAGGACCCCCGCGCAGGGCCCCGGTGTGCGGCCGCGCGCTGGGAAGGCGGGATGCTCGCGGCCGCACCCTGGGGCCGGCTCGGCCACAGAAACACGTCCTCCCCGTCCTGGGGGCCGGGGGTCGGGGTCCTTGGTTCCTTCGGCGACCTGGCTCCTCCGCCCTGGGTCCCGATCGCCTCCTCGCGTGAGGACGCCGGTCTTACTGGCTCTGGGCACCCACCCCGCACCATGCCCTCGTGTAAGCTCAGTCCCCTCCTCCAAGACCCCGTCTCCAAACACCGCCGCCTTCTGGGGTCCTGGGGGCCAGGCCTCCGCACCTCACGGAGGTCAAGGAGACACACTTCAGCCTGGATCAGGGGGGAGCATAGAACTTCTCTGTGCTGTCACTGCAGTTTCTCGTGAGCCTGCAATGATTTCAAAATGAAAAAACCAAACCAAACCATTTTTTTAAGGGTGACTCCCTCCCCTCCCCACCCAGGTCTGTCCCAGATCCCCGGGGTTTGGGGAGGGGTGGGCTGTGTCACCTGAAGTGGCCCAGGGGTCTGGAAGCCCGGTTGCCCCAGAGAGGGAGGCTGGAGGCCCGACCAGGGCAGGTCTGGGAGGATGCCCGGCTCGCTGGAGGGGCTGCCCGGGGCGGGGAACTGGGGCCCAGAGCCTCCGCACCAGCACGGAGGGGGGGGAGCATCGGGAGCACCCTTCAGATCTGGAAACGGAGCAGACCTCTGGGCTGGGCGTTCTGACCCGCTGCTCCAGGAAGATGCGGGGACACCCAGAGATTTTGCTCAGTGGCAGGTCCCCCCGCCCAGACGGGGAGAGAATCCAGCCCCAGGCTATGGCAGGCGGCCTGTGCAGACGGCCAACCCCCCGCCCACCCCCTGGGCCAGCGGATGAGTGGCCACCAGGGGGCGCGCCCCGAGGGCCACCCGTCCGGGGCTGGGTCCGAGGGCAGGCCCCCGGGGAGGCCGGCGAGGCCCAGGGGGGCGCCCTCCGGGGGAGGGGCTGGCCTCGGCAGCCCCTCCTAGTTAACATGCAGGCAGCGCGGCGCTCGGAGAAATCTAGATTTTTTCCGCGTGTGCACTCGCATGTAAATGCGGGTAGGTGCTGTCCTGATTGATGGCAATTAGCATTTTCTAACGGGAACAGCTGTTCCGATTGCCAGGAGGCTGGTACCTCACGCCCACGCGCCATCTGCTCTGGGGCCGGGCCGGAGGGAGCGCCCGGCCCGCCGCCCTCCGGGCCTCGGCGGCGCGGACCGAACAGCGCCGTGCGCCGCTGCTTCTGGAGGGGAGGAAAATAATAATAAAGATGTTTTTCAGGGTTATAAATAGTTGGCGCTGTGTATTATGGGATGGAGCGTGCTCTCCGAGCCGCGGTGGCGGCGCAGGTTTCTCCCTGGCGCGAACAAAGGGAGGGGAAAGGCACGTGGTCCCAGCTCCTCTGTCTGTGCGTGTGGGGGTGGGGGGGCGGCCTGGGAGGGCAGGGCCAGGCTGGGGTTTGGGGAGGCCGGAGGGTGGCTGAGGGTGACAAGGAAGGGGACTGCGGGAGACAGGTGCAGGGAGCATTCTGCTGGAGCCTCACTCCTGGCGCTGGGCCCTCTGCTCCCCAGAGACAGCAGGGTGGGCGGGGGCTGGGAGCTGGGCCGGCCCTGCCTGCCCCCCCTGCTACCCCGCTACCCCGAAGCCTCACAAACAGGCTGAGCCCCAGGGCTGGGAGATCGGGGTGGTGACCACCCAGCTTCCCCGGGGCTCTGTGCGGAGCAGGAGGGTGCCCGGTGCATCGCTGGGGGCCCCGCGGCCTGTCCGGCCGTGTCCTCAGCTGCCCCCGAGGGGCCCTGGACGGTGGCCCTGGCCCCAGTGCGCCTGCTCTGGCCTTGGTCCTCGGGCAGACCACGCTGGATGGCCCCAGCCATGAGCAGAAGCACATGCCCACTGTTCTTCCTCTTTCTCGTCTCTTTTTGGCTTCTTCGAGGAAACCAGTTTGTTTGCTATAAAAAGAGTCGTCTCCCTCTTGTCCCTCCCCGGGCACACGGTAACCACTTGGAGGTGGCCTTTCCCCCTGACACCCCAGCCCCCTCCGTGCCCCAACCCCCCCCCCCCCGCCCCGTGTCTGCGTCACTCTCGCCTCCTGCCAGCAGACCCCTGCGGGGGAACCGGTGCCGTCCCCCGAGTGCCCGACGGATGTGCCAGGACCTCACAGGGGCCCCGGCGGCCTCTCTGGGGGCTGAGACCCCCACTCTGCCGGGCCCGCCTGCGTTCCCGTTCTCGTACCCACTGCCATAAGAGGTGGCGCCCTCCCCGAACCTGAGGGCTCAGCGGGGTGGCACCTTGGGGAGGCCCACAGCCGGGACTGCTGTGCCGGGCCTCCTCAGCCCATCTCTGACGGGTCCCCGGCCACCTCCCCTGCTTCGGAGAAGAGGAGATAAACTCGGTCCCCCGTGGGGCGGGGGTGGGGGCGGTTTGTACAGTCGCTGGCTCGTTGAGGGGTCTCGGCCTCTGAGGAGCGCCCCCACCTGGATTCTCTGGTTCGGACAGAGTCCAGCAAAGCAGCAGTAAAGGTCCCGTAACTGGGGGCTGCCAGGACCTCAGGGTCAAATCCGGGGCGGGGGTGGGGACTGGTTTTGCAGAGCAGCCCTGGTAAATGTCCTGGGTGGTGCCGGTGGTGCCGGTGGTGCCAGCTGTGGTCCGGGCGGCAGCAGAACATGGAGGGAGGCCCCGCCCCGCTCCCTTCCTCCCCTGCCAGGGCCGAGTGCTGTGAAGAGGCCAAGGTCAGACCTCCCGCTGGAGGAGTTCTTCCCGGGTTTTCAGGTGGTGGCCAGTGGGCCAGGTCCCGTCCTCGTCTCGGAAACGTGGTGCCACCCCCCCCCCCCGAGTGTCACTCCGCGTCGATGGCCGTCTTCACTTGGTGTCGGGGCTTCTCCGCCTCGGCGCTGTTGACCCGGGGGCGAAATGCATTCTGTGTGGTGGGGGCGCCCTGGGCGTCGCAGGGCATGGGGCAGCACCCCTGGCCTCTGCCCACGCACCAGGTGTGACGCAAGAGTGCCTCCAGGCGCGGCTGAGTGTCCCCTGGGGAGGCAGGTGGCCCCTGGCCGGGAGCCGCTGTGGAGTGATCTTCCAGGGCCTCCACTCCCGGCATCTCACGGCCGGGCCGTGTGCAGCAGGTGCCCTTCAGCCCCTCGAGGGCGCGCGGAGCCTCGAACCAGCGCCGTGCGGGGCGGCTGTTACTGCTGGTGCCCACAGAGGGGAACCCCCTCCAAGCAACCCCCGCCCCCCACAATCCCAATGTCCCGCGCTCAGGGAACAGGGTCCCAATACCTGCCGCGCACTGAGGAGCCCCCTGCTCAGCCTTTAGGAATGCGGCCGTCCTGGGCGTGTCTGGGAGTGTCCGGAACTGGGGTAGGGTGGGGGCAGTGGGCGGGACCTCCCCCGGAGCACCGTCCGCCCCTAGGCACCCCTCCTCCCCAGGCGGGGGGCCGCCCGCGCCCTCACCCTCTGGGCTCTGGCCCCCTTGGTCGTCACGGCTCCTCCTCCCCGGACAGACTCCCGGCCTGGCGGTGGAGGGCTGGGCGACAGGGCCCTGGACGCTCAGCACGCAGCTCCTCTCCCGCCACACACCCACTCGCCCTCCTGGGTAACGCAGCCTCCAGGAGCCGGGCCCCACAGAGGGGACACTAGTGTCCCCGGGGCCCCGGGGGCTGGCCTGGCCGAGGGGCTGCCTCAGGGGCACGCAGGCGTGGGGCCTGCTCAGAGGCGAGCAGCGGTGTGCGAGTGTGTGCGGGAGTCTGGGCGGGAGGTGTGCGGGGGCACACACTCGTGTGCGGGCGGGTGTGTGGGGTGTGTGGGCGTGTGTCTGCAGCTGTGTGTGTGGCTCCACAGGCCTCGCCTGCACCCCCACACTGACCTGCACCCCCACACCAGCTGGCACCCCTGCACTAGTCTGTACCCCCACACCAGCCGACACCCCACCACCAGCCTGCACCCCCCGCACCAGCTGACACCCCACCACCAGCCTGCACCCCCCGCACCAGCTGACACCCCACCACCAGCCGGCACCCCCACACCAGCCGGCACCCCCACACCAGCCGGCACTCTCCTGATTGGTCTTGGGAGCTGCCGCAGGGCGGGTGGACGCCAGATCTCCCGGGGGCTCCACCTGGACAGAGAGCCCCCACTTATCAGGACGCAGTCTGCCCTCCTCCTCGGCACCTCCGCATCCACAGCAGCTGCGAGGCCCCCCCCCCACGGCGGGCGGGGCCGGTGGAGGAGGGCGTGAGGCCCCACCTCCCTCCATTCCCGGGAGCTCGGAAGGTCCGGGGACATCGAAGGGCCTGTCGGCGTCTCCGGGCTGGCAGTGCACAGGGGGCCTCCGAGGACCCGGTGCCGCGGGCACCCCTGCAGCCGAGGGCCCCTTCCTGCGGCGGCACCCCGCTTCCCACTGGATGGCGGGGGCCTCCCTCCCCCGGGTCGGCCCCAGGGTACTCTGTGCGCTGAGGCGGGCGGGTGGCTCGAGTGGCGAGGCCGTGGGAGGGGCTGAACCCAGGCTCTGCCGACTCCCTGCTGCCCCGGGGAGGGTGCGTCCGTGGGGCCGGCCTGCCCCTCTGTGGCCTCGGAGCCGGCGGCCCAGCAGCCTGGCGGCTGCTGCCCACACCGACCACCCCCAGGGGTCAGGCCGGACCGCACCAACCCGGCCTGAGTCACCCAACACGGAACCCCCCATCCTTCCTGCTCACGGGCCGCACAGCTGTAACTGTTCAGCGTCTTGCAAACGACGGGTGTGAACATGGACATGTGTCCCCTGCGAGGGGACCCCCCACGGCCGGCCGGGCTCCGCGCACCTGCGGGTGGAGACTCGGGGGAGCAGGTGCGGCCGTGGGGAGCCCTCGGGCGTGCGGGTCGGGGTTGCGCTTTCCAGAAGGAGGCCCTACTTCTCGAAGTTACTTCCTTACCCAGGGTTTGCCTTTGCCCCCTTTTCGGACACGGGCCCTCGGGACGGGTTATCCCGGTTGCACCCGAGGGTGCGTGTTCCCCCGCAGGCCTGCCGGGGCCCTGCCACCTCCGCGTGGGGTGGAGGTGGGGTGCAGGGTCCTGTCATCACCGCACTAGCACCCGGGGCGTCCCCTCTTCCTCAGGGCCGTGGGTCCCGATGACCTCGGAATTCCCTTTGGAAGCTGGGGCGATTCCCTGTCCCAAGTCACCCTCCCGGGACCCACCCCCCAGACGTGCGCCGGTGAGCACGGCGGTGCTCACACTTTGTGGGTCATCCCTGTGGTCGTCACGGCCCCCTCCCAATCTCCCTGCACCCACAGTTCTCCCTTCCTCAGGCTGGGGCCTCTGTTCGCAGCCGGGACGGGGACTGAGGGACCCGAGACGGGAAGTGGCTGTCCCTCCGTGCCCGCTGCGGGGCAGGAGACCGTTGTCCCCGCAGGGGCTCCTCCCAGCCCCGCGCCCCTGAGCCCCGAGCCCCTGAGCGCTCCCCGCAGGGTTCCTCAGCAGACTCGCCCCTTCCCTCTCTCAGCGGCCCGGGGAGGTGTCGGGGCCTCCCAGTCCTTCCCCATTCTCTCCTCCTGCCCTCCTGCAGGCCCGTTCGCTGCCTCCTGGGCGGCCGGTCAGCCCACTGCCCCAGCGTCTCCCCGGCAGCGGGAGCGGGGCGAGCTGGGATTCGCCTGAGGAGGGATGAGGTAACAAGCGGGCTGGCCCGGCTCTCGGAGCGGGGCCCACCCTGACCCGAACCCCGAAGCCCACTCCGGCCCGGCCAACCCTGGCCGTCGGTGCGAGTGCGTGAGGCTGCGTGTATGGGCGTGTGGCACACGCCCAGTGCCCAGTAGGCGGTGCCTGTCTCCGCGGCAGGGGGCTCCACAGGGCGCACAGGGGGCCAGGCCCAAAAGGTGCGTGTGCGTCTGTGCAAGATCGCGGTGCACACACGGGAACACTCGTCCGTAATTGAATGAAGGAAACTCGTGTTAATGGGCAGTTGTGCGACATTTTGAAATCTCTCCGGGTGGAAGAAGTTGGTGACTCCTGGGTGGTTTCTGCTGGCTGGGTTGGGCTGGGGTGACGGGGTGGTCCTTGCTGTCTCCCTGCGGTGTGGGCTGAGTCCCCTGTGATCGAAGAGAGGGCCGGGGGGGGTGGGGCTCTCAGGGCGGGGAGGACAGTGGGCGCGCGGCAGGGAGAGAGGAGGGGCCGGGCCATGAGTGACCGCTCTGTCCAGCTCCGGCTGTCACTTCGTGCTGGTTTTCTTTGTGGATGCCAAAGGAAGCAGAGAGTGTGACGTCGTGGGGACGCGCTTCCGGTCCTGCCCGCCTTTCCCTGTGCCGGCCTCTCCCCTCCAGGCCCCGGCTCCCCGCCCCCACGCTCGGGCCCGCCCGCTCCTGGGGCATCCGGCTCGTTCGCGTCAGCCTCGGGGGCGCCAGGCACCAGGGTCAGGCCCGGAGGGGAGCTCAGGCTCACTCGCCCCCGGTCGCCAGCTACCCGAGTGTGTGCACGCGGGTGTGCACATGTGTGTTTGCACACATGCACATGTGCACACACACTGACCGTGTGGACATGCATGTGTGTGCACACAGGGTGTCATGTGTGGGTGTGCACGTGTGTGCTGTGTGTGCGTGCATGCTTGCATGTGAGCGTGCATCATGCCAAGTGTGTGGGTGGCGTGCACACGAGTACCTGTGTGCACACATTTGCGATGTGAGCGTGCGTGCAGGGTGCTGTGTGCGGGTGTGCCCATCACGCGGCGTGCACCTGCAGGTGTGCAGGTGTGCATGCAGTGTGGTGCACGTGCGGGCGCATGTGTAGTTGTTCATGTGCACACACGTGCTTTTGCACTTGCAAGGGTGCTCGTGTGCACTGCATGTGTGTGCACACATGTGGAAAGACAAGAGCGTGCCCAGGCCTCCCGGAAAGCTCTCTGAGCCCAGGCCGGGGCCCTGCCGACACCGGCCGCTGCCCCTGCCTGTTGGGCGGACCCCCCCACCCCGGGGAAGCTGCTGGGCTCGGGGGAGGGGCGGCGCAGGGCCCCGCGTGCCCGCAGTGCAGCCTGTTACCTGCTCTTATTAAAAATCGATGGCACGACAGAGCGGTTCCACTCTGTCTTCCCTAAACAACATCCAGTGCAGGGGAGCGGGCGGGGGGGGGTGTCTGGGCCAGACGGTGGCGGGGGGGCCTGGGCCCCCCGCAGCCCTGCAGCCCCTCGGCGCCCAGCCGCGCTGCCCCTCCATAAAATAACCGGCTCATCCCAGGCCCATCGGCGCGGGATTTACGGCCCGGCCCGCCGCATGTCTCCCCCGGCCTCACTCCTGCCATTTATCACGCGGGCCTGCCGGAGCGCCGAGGGGCAGTTAATCAAGGCCGACTTTCTACCTTGTCATCCCGGGATTCTGCTGGGAGAAAATGTGAACCGTAAAATTAAAATCACGGGGGCCCGGGAATTGGCGGAGACGCGGGGAAGAGAGAGATTTCCCCAGCCCCGGCCCCGGCCCAGACACGCAGAGCTCCAGCGCCAGGCCGGGCCCTCCCGGCTGCACCCCCGCTCCGTGTCCCCCCGCCCCTGCTGACCCCTCTCTGCTCCTGCCCCTTAGCGGCCCCTCCGGAGGAGGGGGAGGCGGCAGCCTCAGCCGGGAGGAGGACCGGAGGTGAGCGCCCTGGGGGACGAAGGACCGTGTCTGACCTGGAGTCTGGTTGTGTCGGGGGGTGTGTGCACACGTGTGTGCAGGAGGAGGGGTGAGACAGGTGCTGGGGTGCATGTCTTTCCAGACCCCCCCCCCAGAGCCTTCGGAAGACCCCTCCCCCATGCCAGGAGACCTGGGTCGCAGGGGTGCAGCCCTGTCTCTGCCTGGGAGGGGGGAGTGTTTGGGGATCCTGGGGTTTGGGCTGCTCAGGTGCTCCCCGAGAACCAGCCCCCTGGGCCCCCTGAGCCCGGCACCTGCGCGGGGCTGAGACAGACAGTGATTGGCAGCCTCTGCTCCGAGGTGCCGCGGGCGCTCTCGCCCGGCGCTGCCTCCCCGCGCTCATTACTTATTTAATCATCTCTTTACGATTCCAGAGGAGTCTCGGGAGGGAGGGGAGTGCAGGGCGGGCGGAGCGACCCCGTGCCCGGGCAGGGGCCCGAGTGGGCAGCATGCACACGGGCAGCTGTCAGTCCAGGCCGAGGGGGCCGGCCCAGGTCGCGCCAGCCCTCTGGGGCACAAGGACGCCGGACTCCGGGGAGGCACGGAGGAGGGGAGGCATGGAGGAGGGGAGGGCGTGCGGGGGAGGGCGGGGCGGGGCGGGGAGCTCCGATGCCCAGAGCTTCCGGGGGTCCATGTTAAGGAGGGCAGCCGGGCCAGCGTGGGGTGGAAGTCCCCAGAACGGCAAACTGGCAAACCGGCCATGGAGACTCGGCTCCCAGGGACCCCCTCTCTCACAGGGTGTCCCCCCAAGGGCCGACGACGGCGGCTGTGCAGCAAGGACCCTCCGTCCCCCGTGCCTGTCCCCTGGGAGGCGGAAGCAGCACAGGGCCCTGGGTGGGAGTGGGGCGGGGGTGGGGAAGGGCACCCGAGAGCTCGACCTTCACGAGCGGACCAGCGGCGTCCAGTCAGGACAGAGGCTGGGTTTGGGCGGGGGGGTGCCCTGGGCCCCCAGGCCTCTGTACCTCTGCCTGCCCCCTGACCCCACCCCTCCTCTAGGCCCGCCCAAGGCCACCCACATGCCCCAGAGAGAGACTCCTCCCTCCCATCCGCCCCTCGCAGAGGGTTGCCGCTGCCCCCGGGGCCGGCAGTCCTCAGCAGCGCCGTGCATGCCCCCTGCATCCCGAGGTGCCCACACCTGGCGGGTTCCCAGCAGCTGCCTGCTGAGCGCGCAGTCGCCCACCCTCCCGGGAGAACGCACCTGCCGCGTGTACCCACCCGGCGCAGAGGGCTGGAGTTGGCCCCAGGGGCCAGGGCGACGGCCGCTGGGCAGGCGCAGGGAGAGGGGGACAGTGTGACGGTCACCTCTGCGCTTCGGGGCCTTGGGACCCCCTGACGACTCCCAGGGACAGCTCCCTGGGTGTGGGGCGAGCTCTGTGACTCGGCTGCCGTGACGGTTCTCCCTCCCTAATTATGTTTGGCTTGGAGCAGCATGGAAATCGCTCTGTGCTCCCCGAGCACACAGCGCCGGGCGTGGGGGGAGGTGGCAGGGGGGTGCGAGGCGGCAGAGAAAAGCCACTCGGGGCCCGGAGGCTCCGGGGACGAGCTGCGTGCGGTGGGGGGGGCGGGGGGGCACCGCACCGAGCACTGGAAACGGCCACAGGAACGTGGGGTGGAGGGGCTGCCCCCCAGCAGGGCCGAGGAGCCCGGGGGCTGCCGGAAGCACCAGCGTCCGTCCGTGCCTCTGGTGTGCGGGGTGGGGGGGCACACTCAGCGTTTCCCCGGAATCGGCTCGTTCCTCCCCCTGCCACCCTGACGGGGGGGGGGGCCGTGGCCAGCCTCCTCCCACGGAGAGGCGGGCTGAGGTCTCGGGAGAGGGGACGCCCCGGGCCCGAGGCCCAAGAGTGGACGTGCGGCTGGGGTTCCTAGCGATAAGCCATCTCCTGGGAGACGGGGGTTCTGGGCCAAGAGTCCATTTCCTCGGGTGACCGGGGAGAAGGTCGGAGGCGCCGGCGCGTCGTACCCGGACCAGGCTCCCGGGGAAGCTGCCTCCTCCCGGTCCTCGCAGCCCTCGGGGGGCGGGGAACGTGTCACCCCTCGCGGAGAGCGGCTGTTTTCACGATGCCCCCCTGCACCTCGCCGGGCGGTACGGCCCAGCGGTGGGGCCAGCGGCAGGGTCCTGGGCCAGACGCACACCGGGGGAGCCTTCCTTTCCTCTTGCAGATGAGACACTGGGGTTCACACCTCCCTCGGTATATCCTGTCCAGTTAGAATGTGGGTTTCTCGCTTGCTCGGGCCACATCTGCTGGGAGCTGGGCAGTCCCCGGAGTCATGGCTTCCCCCAGGGCCCCTGCGTGCCCACTGGCCCCGCGGCCCAGAGCCCCACCTCCCCAGGAAACAGCTCTGTCCTTATCAACGTCCCAAAGCAAGAAGCCATCGCCCTCCAGTTCTGATTAACAGGGCTTTGGAGCAATAGGAATTTAATCTGCCCCTTCCCAAGTAAGATACGGGAGACGCCGGGGCCCCGGGGCCCTCTCCGCTGATCTGCTGGACACTCCGCCGGCCGGAGCCGGGAGTGCTGGGGAAGCCTCGGGCGCCCACGCCCTTCCCGGCCCCACCTGGGCTGGGTGTGCCCCAGGGCGTCAGACGGCGGCGGGGCTTGCCAAGGCCAGGGTGAGCTCTTCATCTCCTGGGTGCTGTCTCTGCGAGGCTGCGCCCCTCTGCCCTGCAGCGCCAGCTCTGATCTGACCGGGTTTGCGGTTTCTGGGTGCCGGAGCCGCTTCCTGCCCTTCCCGTCCCACACGGCCCACGGATGAACACGCGTCCGCCCCCGGCCTGGCTTCCCGGGGGAGGATGCCTTCAGTGTCTCTCTGCACGGAGGAGTCGGCGTCCCGCGGGCAGACTCGGTGCCGCCGTGGGGAGCAGCCTGGTCCGGCCCCTGCTGAGAGGGCCCGGCGGGCACGCTGGCGTCCCGCCCCGCCCCACTCCCGAGCCCTCGAATCCTCAAACCTGCGCACGACTCCCTGCTGGTGGGCGGCGGAGCGGCTGCCGGGGCGCTCCTCGCCGGTCGTCCACGCCACGCCGAGGCCTCCGCAGCTGCGGCCTCCCCGGGCGAATCTGCATGCTCGCTGGCTGTGCCCGTGGCCGGGGCATCAACGCCGCACGCACGGCCGAGGTCATTCGTGGGCATGCGGTCGGGGTCCTGCCTGTCCCCTCGGCCTGGCGTCTGGCCCCCGTGTCTGCAGGCCGGCTGCGTGTCGGCTGACCGAGCCTGGTGCTTCTGCTCCAGGCTGCGGGCGGGCTGAGCCGGGCACCTGGCTCCAGGTGGGCTCCGCACGGGCGTGGGGGTCCGCTCATCAGAGCCCCGCAGCTCCCGGGGGCCCTCAGCCCCGGGCGGGGGGGGGCTGGCGTGTGAACCCCGCAACGCACATGCTCTTTACAGCGTCTGCTTGTGTCGAGTCTGCGAACTGCCTGATGGTCACAGCAACTCGGGGGGGGCGGAGGCGGCAGAGACTCCGTCCCCAGGAGCTGGGACTGTGACACGAGGTGACTGTGGGGCGGCGGCCGAGGACAGGGTGGCGGTCCCAGAAGGCGGGCTGTGGGGGGCACAGACACACGGAGTTCGTCGCGGTCACAACCAGCCGGTGGGGCTTCGGACCGTCTCCCCATCTCCCCTGGGTCCTCCACCCACATCTCCCCGGCGGCCCCTCGCCTCCTGCCTGTGCCCTCCGCTGCCCCTGGCAGGAGGGAGGTTGGGCCGGGCAGTGGGGGAGGGGGGTGGCAGTGTCCCTCCCACTGGGCTCCGGGGGTGGGGAGGGTTGGGGGGGCAGACGGACAGGGCCGCCCCCTGACAAGGAGAGAGGCCCCCCAAGGGGGAAGCACTCTTAGAAGCGCCCCGCAGGGAAGCCCAGGATTGCCCGAGCGCACACCTGTGCACGCACACCTGTGCACGCACACCTGTGCACACGCGTGGAGGAGCAGCTCTCAGACGCGGGGAGGGGACGTGAGGAGGAAGGGGGGACGCCACACTCAGCTGCCCTGGGGACGTGACCGCTGACTTCCGGCACCCGGAGGGCGCGGGCGCCGCTCTCCTCGGAGAACACGGTATCCCTCGGAATCCATGGCGTGGCCCCGCGGAGCAGACGGCAGACAGGTGGACAGACAGGCGGACAGACAGGCGGTCGCCGAGGCCGGAGGGGCGGGGCGGGGCGGGGCTCGCGGGCGCAGACCGGCCGCGTGCAGGCCTGCCCTGCTCTGCACAGTGCAAGGGGGGCGTCGTGGAGAAAGTTCCCTGCCTTAATCCATCATCCCATGGAAAGCCAGAAATTATTCTTAATTAAAAAGTAATAATAGTGTGACTCGAAGGAACTCCGAGGCACGCTGCCCTTGAGGAAGGGGGTAGGGTGGGCAAGCTATTTGTAATGGTCTCCATGGCGACAGAGGTTTTGTTTACAGTGACTCCCCCCCCCCCCCCGCCTTTCCCTTCAGCAAGGCAATTGCTGATTTGCATTTTATTAGAAAGCACGGCTGGCCAGTCCCTGGTGTGGCCGGGGTGAGGTCTTGGGGGCCCGGGGTGGGGTGCGGTGGGGTGGGGTGGGGGGCTGCGAGGCTGCTCCCCAGGTGGGCCCACCCCCTGTGCCCCATCCCGCCCCGTCCCTGCGGGGGGGCGCTGTCTCGCCCGCTTCTGTTTCAGCGCAGCTGCAGAGGGCCCCTCCGAGCCCACCACACCAAAGTCCTGCCTCCGTGCTCGGGGCAGCCGGGCGGGTCCCAGCGTCCCCACCTCCAGCGCCCCCGAGGCCAGCGGGCGCAGAGCTGCGGGCTGAGCCACAGATGGCGCGGCAGCTGCGGGCCCCGCGGAAGCCGGTGCGCGCGCGGCCGCTGGCCAGGCCCCAGGGGGTGGCGCCATCTGGCCGGGCCGGTGTGAGTGCTTCCCGGGCCCGGGACCCAGAGTCCCCGCACTCGCCGCCCGCCGCCTGGGTGCGGCCCTGCGGAGCGCGGAGGAGGCTGCTGTCTGGCGTCTGGCCCTGGTTTTTTCCCCACCGGCCTTGGACTTGCCGCCCTCCGGGGGCGACCCGGCCACGGGGGAGCAGGGGCCCGTGGTCCTCACTTCTGGGCGGGGGTGGGGGCACGGGATGATCCGTGGCTTCCTGCGGACTCACGCGCTGTCCCGTGCGTGGGCCCCAGCGAGCAGGGCACCGTTGCCCCGCCTCTCACACCTGCTTGGGCACCGCACGGGGTTCCGGGCGGACGCCTTCCGTCCGGTACAGCGGCTCTCGGGCCGGGGCCGAGCCGTCCCCAGGGTCGCTGAGTGGAGAGCGCGAAGCCCTCACAGCCAGGGGCGCTCGTCCCCGGGGACACGGAGGGGGACGGCGGCCGGGCTGGCTTCGGCTTTCGGTTGTGGTCTCTCTCGTCTCTGTAAAATTCCGTCTGCAGGGGGCATGTTTGGGCAGGTCGCGACGAGGCCGTCCCCTCGGCGCGCTAACGCAGCAGAGCCTTCCCGGACACGCCCGCTTCCTGTTCCCTGGGGGCGGCGGCAGGCCGGGGAGGGGGCGGCTTGCTTTCCTGGGTGCCCTGGCGGGACTGGGCCCCGGGGAGCCTGAGGCTTGGGGTGCGCAGGGGCCTGGGGGTCCCCGTACTGTCGGCGGGAAGCCCACCCCACAGCCACAGGCAGACGCGCAGGGACGGGAAGTGGCCTCGCTGTCACCAGGGGCGGGGGTGGGGGGTGGGACAGCGAACTGGGGCAGGTAACGAGGAAAACCTCTACCTGAGGGGAACGGCTGGAACTTTCTGGAAAGAGGTGGGGCTGCGCCACCCTGTGAATGCGCTCGGTGCCGCTGACCCGTGCGCTTCAGAGTGGCCGGTTTCATGTGACACGTGAATGTCAACACGTTAAGAACATTGTTTAGCGGAGAGCCCGTTCCCTGGAGTCCAATGGGGGCGGTCGTTTATCGGCTCGGGCCGGCCCGTCCCCATGATTCTGGGCGTCGTCGCCGCCCCCGCCGTTATTCAGCCGGACGGGGCTTCGGGGTCCGAGGTGTGTTAAGGGCCGCCTTCTGCCTGGGGCCTCCTGAGCGCCCCGCCCAGACGCCCTCGGCCCCGGAGGCCCGAGCAGCGGACGTGCCGGCCACGCGCACGCAAATCAGACGCACACGGAAGCAGCCCCCCCAGCCCCCGCCCCCCGGCAGGCCCGGCCCAGCCCGGCAGCAGGGTGGACACGCCCGAACCTCGGATGTCACGCGGAGGCGTGCACGCGTCCGAGGACGGTTTCGCGTTCTGGCCTGCGCTACAGACCTGCGCGTCCGCTCGGGCCTGGCGTCACTGGCTCCCGGGTCCCCCCGCCGCCTGCTGAGCGCTCACAGCCCCACTTCCCTTCCGATCCCCTCCCTCCGCGGCTTCCGCGTGCTTCCGGAAAGCCCAGCCTGCCTCTCATTTCCCCCAGAACATGCCCCACGCGTGGCGGGCAGCCCGGCCACGTTCAGCGTTGTTTGGCCGCCCCGCCCCGCTCAGGCCCCGCGGCTTGGACTACGGGCTGGGCCCCCGCAGTTCTGCCAGCTGCAAGTCCAAGGTGCGGTCTCTGGTGAGAGGCCGCCTCCTGACTGGCACGCGGCTGTCGTCGCGTGGGACCTCCCACGGTCCAGGAGCGCGTGCACGTCTTTCTATAAGGACACGGGTCCGCTTTGCACAGGGACCGCCGGGGGGGGGGTGGCGCTGCCTGGGGGCCTGGGGCCCTCTGGCCTTGACGGCTGAGCGCCTCCGGAATGATGGTCGGGCCCCCGGGGGACGGCCACCAGGTCCTCAGAGAGGGGAGCCCGCGGGACACACGGGCGAGCGGCCTGATTTCCATTGGACGGGGACAGGGTGGGGACCTGCGGGGGGGCTCCAGGGCAGGAAGGACCCTGCTGCCCTCCCTCCTGGCCAGGCTGCTGCCCCCGGGTGGGCTGGGGCGGGCGGGGCTCCTGGCTGTGCACCAGCCCCTTCAAGGACAGCAGGAAGGGGCCCTCTACACCCGAGGGATTGCCCGTCCTGGGGAGACGGTCACGGGGGAGCTTTTTGCATGTGTTGCCTCGTGGCAGCCCTGTGACACCCTGCGGGGCGGGGGCCGCCCGTGTCCCTGTGTTGGAGATGAGGGACCGGAGGCTCAGAGAGGCTGAGTCAGCCGCATGCAGGTCAGGGCCAGCGGGCGGTGTGCCCCATGTGACCTGGGGCCGCGACCCCAAACCCGCACAGCCCGCACGTGCAAGCACGGTGCTTCCCGGCTCCGTCCCACCCCCCCCCCCACGCCCTTGGCCATCCCCTGCTGGTCCCCCCCCCCCCCCGCCCGGTCTGGCCTCCCGAGTCACGGTCAGGGAGACGGCAGCCGAACCCATCCAGGCCCCGGACCCCTTCTCCAGCGCTGCCTCTCTGCGCCCCGCCTCGCCACGGCCTCCTCCGCGACGCCCTGCGCCCACCGGCGGGAGCCTCGCCGTCCGTCCCGCCGGGGCGCACAGACGGACTGCCGCTCCGCCGGTTTCGCCAGCACCCTGGTGTGACTCGGTTCCCCCGTCCCGGCTGGCGCTCCGCGCGCCGGTGGAGAACTCATTCGCACCTGCTGTCAGAGAGCGCTCTCCCCCGTCAGGAGAATAATTAAGCCATCATCGCACATCGGGGCTAATGAATCGCCGCTTCGCACTCGGTTCGCAGGTCGTTTGCTTTCCCTGCTCGGGTGAAGGGGGCGGGGCTGCCGCGTGGGCCCCGCCTCCCCGCCCCTTCCCGCCCTCCCCCCTGAGACAGCTGTCTGCTGTGCAGGGCAGGCTGCACGCTGGGCACCGCGGGCCCCAGGACACACCCCGCAGCCCCCAGGACACACCCCGCAGCCCCCAGGACACAAGGCCTCCACCAGGCTCCAGGTCAGGGACAAAGGTGCCACCTGCTTCTGCTCTTTCTCAGGTGCCTCGCTCCCAGGTCACCTAGAAGGTGCCACCCAAGGGACGCCCCTCAGAGCTTCCTGGGGCTGACCAAGCGAATGACCCCATGCTGGGTGGCTTAAAACCACAGGAAGGCATCATCTCTCAGTTCCAGACGCCGGGATTCGGGGGTCAAGGTGCGGGCAGGGCCACGCTCCCTCTGAGGGTCGCGGGGAGGGCCCTTCCTGCCTGCCCCAGCGTCTGGGGGTTGCCGGGGGTCCTGGGCTTGTAGCCCCGGCTCAGATCTCTGTCTCTGTCGTCACCTGGCCACGTCTGTGTGTGTTGGGAGTCCCCCGCCTCCCTCTGTCCCTGCCGTGGGATCGGGCCCCGCTGTGACCCAGGGGGGTGTCAGCCAGAGGTCCTCATGCACGTGACACCTTCGGAGACTTGTGGGAGCTGCGACCACACCTGGACGCCTGCGGGGTCCCCAGACAGGCTCCCCGGGTACCCCCCAGCAAGCTGGCCCTTCCTCCTGCAGGGAGGGGGCTGGGCACACGTCCTCTGCAGGACCTGAGTCACACACAGTTGTTCATCAACGTGGAAAAAAAGTCAGCGTTTTGTCGACTCTCTCAAGGCGGTGTCCCTGACCGGCTCATCGACTGGCCCACGACACGGGCCCACGGGCCCGGAAGGGGTCTTCTCTTCGGGACTGACGGGCTTTTCTCAGGGTCCTTTCCAAACTTCTCCCTTAAATTTTAGTTACAAGTTCGTTACCTGTTTTGAGCGGTAGTACCCAGGCTTGGCCACCTGGCGGCGCAGGCGAGCCACCACCAGGAGGCTGGTCCCTAAGTGTTTTATCTTCGTTTGAACTTCCATGTGGGGAGTGTGGGCTCCCGGGAACCGTCTGCCCTGTGAATCGCCGTCATCCCGGAACCAGCCGGGGGGCGGGCCCAGTCGGGGGACAGCTGTGAAAAGGGCACTTAAACAGGCGTCCGGGCTGCAGGTGTGAGAGCAACCATAGCGCCCCCCGCCCCCACGCTGTTCTGAAATCCGGGTTTTCCTGTCTCTGGAGGAGGGCTCCTTGGCAAGGAGGGGACTGTGGCCTCTTCGTGTGGCGGCAGCATCGGGGCAGCGGGCGGGGCGTCTGGCCTGCTCGGAGAGTGCGGGGACTTTGACTTTGGCCTCGGTGGTGGGCAAGGTCAGGGCTGGGAGGGGACTGGCGGGGGTGCCAGGACCCCCCCCCCCGCCCCGTCCGCCAGCTTCCACAACAGGTGTCTGTGCAGTGGCTGCCGCACGCCGGGCTCGCCTGCCCGTGACGTGGCCAGGCGGGGTGTCACGCTGAGCGCGGGGGCTCAGAGAATTGGGACGCCCACCCAGTCCCCGGGCAACCTCCACAGCCGTCCGCCTGTCCGAGGCTCCTGGCGCTCCGTACCCTTCACCCCCTCCTGGTGCCCACCGACCCGGAGCTCCCTCCACAGCCCGGGGCCCCCGGGCGGCCAGCTGGAGTTTGGGGCCCCTGGCTCATCCCTTCTCGGTCGGACTTCCCCACCCCACACCCTGTTCCCAGAAACCCCTGCTCTGGTCCTCATGCCCCTGGTCACATCGACCTGGACAGGTGTCCTGGTCACTCCCAGGGCTCCGCGGGCGTCCGTGGGCCCAGACGAGGGCTGGGTGGACCCGGAGGTCTCAGGACTTCTGAGTGCAGGTGGCCGATTGCTGTGTCCCAGGAGCGGGCACTGGAGAGAAGGAAAATGTTTCAAAACCAGCGCAGATTCTGTCTGACTGGTTGGGCCGGTTGTCCAGGGGGGAGCCCGAGCCTGCGTCCCCCAGAAAGCCAAGTGGGCGTCTGATGGAAACCCAGAGATCGGGCTCTCTCTCGTCCCGGGTGCCGCTTGGCCCGCCCACGACACTTCCTCCTCGTGGCCGCCAGGATTGCCCGGCCGGCTGAGCGCTGGCACAGCCCCCACGTGGGGTTGTCCCGGGGTGGGGACCCCGGCGGTTAGGGTTCCCACCGAACCAGGGCAGTGAGGACAGACAGCCACACGACCCCCGGGGGGCCACCGCACTCCTGGCAGGAAGCCCCTGGGAGAGCCGAGTGCACCCTCGCTCTGGTCAGCCCCAGGACGTGCATTCCTGGCCCAGTGCGTGTGGGCAGACACCCCGAGTCTTCCCAGGTCTCCGTGTCCCCATTTGGAACGTGGGGTGATGTCCCCCCCCCCCGGTGTGAGCGTCCAAGCCGGGGCCTTGAAGCCACAGGCCAGCCCCATCTCAGGCCTGGAGGCCGGACGTCTGACGTCCGGGGTCGGGGGGCCAGCGCCCTTGAGGCTCTGGGTAGAGCCCTTCCTCACCGCCACCCCCACCCCGGCCTCTGGGGTCCGTGGGTAATCCCCGGTGCTCCTGGGCCTGCGGACACCCCCTCCGGTCTCCGCCTCTGCCCCTCTGTCCCACACAGCCATCTTCCCCCGTGTCCCGTCTCCACACGCATTTCCCTCTTCTTGCAAGGCCACCGGTCACGTTGGGTTACAGCTGCCCTGAGGACCAGTGCGGACGGACACACAGGGGCCGGCCCTCGAGAGACGGCACCGCCTGTGGGCAGCTCTTGGAGGAAGGAGGCCCCCCCTCGTGGCCTGAGGAGTTGGGACACAGCCATTTGGGGTGGTGCTGGCTGGTGGCCCTGAGCACCTAACTGTGTCCAGTTTGTGTCCTTTATACGTGCGTCTCCGGGTCTGTGTTTGAGGAGCAGGTGGCCGAGGAGGGCCCACTTGGGCCTGGCAGCTGGGGGTCGGGGCTGACGCCGATCACATCAGGCTCTGCGTCCAGGTGGCCGGGGAGCCGCACCTGCACTGGGAGGGCCTGGGTCTTGGGGTCCCTGAGTTCCAGGTGCTCGGGGCCCCTTCTGCATGGCAGTGTGTCCCTCTGGACACTCCTGGTTTTGCATCCTGCATCTTTGTCCTTTCTGCTCGGTCACCCGGGGCCCCAGGTTCCACAGTGGAGGACTCAGGGTTCTGTGACAACGGGGTGCAGGCAGGCGGGTGGGTGGCCTGCCCTGGCTGGAGTCCCTGCACCCGCGAGCTGGCGCTGCAGTACCGGCCAGCACCACCAGGGGGCGGCGGGGGCCGCAGTGAGGGGAGAGCCGTCCTGCCAAGGATGCAGGGCTGCTCACCTGGCCTGTCCGCTGGTCCCTCCCTCCTGACGGGGTGGGGCGGGGGGGGCGACCGCCGACCACTCTGTCTCCTAACGAGCCAGCCAGGGGTGGGGGGGGGGGGGGGGGGGTGGGGGGGTTGGGGGGGGGGTGCTGGCGGTGGAAGAGGCACGCGCGGCCGGGCCTTCTCCTCCTGGCTGCGGGCAGGGTTCGTTCCGGGGTGAGGCTGGGACCGAACCCGGAGAGCCGAGGCCGGTCCCCGTGGAGGCTTTCGGGCTTTGGAGGGGACGCCGAGGGGCTGTCCTGGCCCCCTCTCGGGCCCCCCCTCCCAGCCCCTGACGACGCCTCTGAATCACACACTTCACGGCACCGCTGCCTGGGGCTCAGGGTTTTTGGAAAAGGGAACGTGCGCATGCGCTCACCTCAGGCGCTCAGGGGCGTAATGACGCACCGTCACGCCCGCCCGTGGCCCGAGCCCGTCGCACTAGTGGGTCCCGCTCTGTAAGCAGCAGAGAGCCTGCACCACAGCTGCGGGACAGGCCGGGGTGTGTGTCCCCCCCACGTGGCATCGTGCGTCGCCGGGGGCGGGGGGTGTGCGTCGCCGTCCCCAAATTCCAGGACTCGGGCTCACGGCAGAGGGAGGGAGGCGCCGGGCACACGGCTTCCGAAGCCCCCGCCGGGAGCGCCACGGCCCCCCAGCCCCCGATGTCATTGCCCACACTGTGGCCCCTGACGGGAGGGGCGGCCGGGCTGTGTGGGGCCTGCAGGGGGGGTGGCCGCTGCGGCCACCACGGGCACCGAGGGAGACCCCCCACCCCACCGAGCACTCAGGACCAGCCCCGCCCTGCTCTTGGGACTTCAGGGCCACCTCGGTGACGCACAGGGTTGAGGGGCTTGCTCGGGGTGGCCCGGCGAGCGAGAGGGCGAGGCGGAGTTTCGGGCCGCAAGGCTACGACACTTCTGCTGCCCAAGTTCGAATTCGGGGATCCGTGACGAGGAGGAAGGTGGTGGGGCGGCCAGGCTGCCTCGGTTATGCCCGCCCCCCTGCCAGGCACGCCCTCCCTGCGCTCGCCAGGGCTGAGACTCAGGATGTGGAAGGAGGAGGAGGAGGAGGAGGCGGCCAGTGGACAAGTAAACGGACTGAGGCCAGCGCGGTCGTGGATGGTCAGCCCCGTTGCCATGACAGCAGGAAGCCCGGGATCGATGGGCCCTGGGCGGGCAGCAGTGCCATGCGTGTTTCTCCCACCAGGTGGCAGCACGCGCCCTCTCGCAAACTGCCACCTGCCCCCTGCCCAGGGAGCTTGGGATCCAGGAAGGGGAGGCGGGCGGGGGGCGGGGCTTCCCTCCGACCCCTTCCTTTACAGACGGGGAAACTGAGGTGCGAGAGGGAGCTTGGCGATCCCCGAAAGTATGCACCTGTGGTCACGCGGAGCCCGTGGCCCCCCATGTCCCCATTCAATGCACACATGCACACATGTGTGGGCACATGTGCATGGCTGGCAGCCCGGGCTGCATTCCCAACCTCACCCAGCCCCATGCGTTGGTTCGTGCAACAAGCATTTATTAAGCACCACTGGACACCAAGTCTGGGTCGGCTGGTGAGAATGCAGGCACCAACCGCCCTCCTGACCCACCCGCCAGGGTCACGGTCCAGAGTGTGCTGCCGTCCGGTCTGGCCACCGGGGCGCGGGTCCCGGTATGTCTCTGTCGGGCGGTGTGGGTCCAGAGGAGGAAGCGAGTGTGACCCTCGGTCACCAAGGGTCCTGGTGGACGATCCCGGAGATGCGTGTGCCCATCAAGGTGCACGGTGAGTGTGGGGGGCTGCCTGGAGGCGCGTGGGCAAAGCAGGGGGCCTGGGTCTGCTGGCGTCCCGGGGCTGGATTCGCATTCGCAGCCTCTGTCCCCCGGGCTCCGGCCTCGCCCGGCTCTGTCCCACCCTCGGCGGGGATGGGGGTGCATCTTCTCCCCCGCCCGCCCCTCCCTGCTCCCAGCTGCCCGATGCGGACCCCCGGCAGCCGTGGGGCCCTGTGCTCTCCCCCGGGGTGGGGGTGGGGGTGGGGGAGGGGCGCGCGGGGAGCAGCTCGGGCAAGGTCGGGGCGCCCAAGTGAGGGCCCCGCACGGCATTGTGGATGCACGGTGGGGCCTTGGATGAAGCGTGCCCGGGACGGAGATAATTGAAAATCAAAAAAGACTTTGTTAATTTGATTAGTCAGAGCGGTAGCTGAATTGTTCTTCATCAAAAGAGATTTAATTTTGACATGCAATTAAATCCTTCTGCTGCGCGGCCTGCCCTGCGCGCTGCAGATGGGCTCGGTGGTGGCGGCGGTGGGGGCGGGGGTGCCGGCCGCAGAGGGGCTGCTCGGGCTGCTGGGCGGCGGCGTTGGGGGGAGTCACGGCCCCCACGGAGGGGTCGGGAGAGGAGAGGAAGGGGTCGCCGAGGGTGGGCTGGCACAGGGACTCCCATCGAGGCCAAGGCAAGAATCTGGACCCAGGAGCCCGGTGGCAGGGCGGGAGGGTGCGGGGACCGGAGGGGGCAGAGGGAGGCTGCCCGCCCCAGACGCGCCCCCTGACCCCCGCTGGCCTGAGAACGACCCCGTGACTCCCGGGAGGGCGAGTGAGGGGGAGTGCGGTCGCCCGTGGGGGCGGAAGGCTGTCGGGAGCCTGAAGTCGGGGAATGTCCCGGACCGAGACCTGGACGTCTGGCTTGGGGGAAGCCAACGGGACCATCCGGGGG